TTTTTTTTTTTTTTTTTTTTTTTTTTTTGGTACCTGGGATTGAACTTGGGTCCTTACGCTTACAAGGCAGGCCACCACTAAAATAGTCAAATTTATGGAGATATAAACTAGAATAGTTGTTGGGGCAGAAATTAGAATACTTGCTGAGGCAGAGAATAATGAGGATTTGTTGTTTAATAGATATAGCGATTGTTTAAGATCATTAAAGGTTTCTGGAGTTGAATGTGTAGTGGTAATAACTGTACAAAAATATTAAAGCCAATCAACTGTGCACTTAAAATGGTTAGGATGGTAAATTTTATGTTGTGTGCGTTTTACTACACTAAAACTAAGCAGTGATTCTGTTGGATAAAAGGGTCATTTTTAATCAAGCATAAAGTTTCTCTTTATTAGTAGTTTATCCTGCAGACAGTAACAAAAAGGTATATACATGAAGTTGAACAGGCTGCATTTATTACTTCTTTCAATGAAGAATACTCATCATGGTAACACCAGGTGAAGAAAGAACTTACAGAATTTGACCTAGTGTTAGGTGACTTGGGGAGTAGCTTAAATCAAAACTAGGGTAGAGCCGGGCCTTGGTGGTGCACACCTGTAATCCCAGCACTTGGGAGGCTGAGGCAGGAGGATCGCTGTGAGTTTGAGACCAGCCTGGGCTACATAGTGAGTTCCAGGACAGTCTCAAGAGTGAGACCCTGTCTCAAAAAAAACAAAAAAACAAAAAACTAAAAACAAAAAAACTGGGGTGAAATCCAATCTCACTTCTGTCAGAGTAGCAAGTGTAGAAAGAATAAAAAAATAGTGAATGCTAGAGAGGATGTACTGCCACTGGGAATGTAACTTAGTCACTATGGAAATAAGCATGGGATTCCTCAAAAAACCAAAAGTACAGTGCACATATTATCCAGCTAAATTACTCCTTGGTATATACCTGAAAGCCAGCATGCTAGAGGTATACTTGTATGCCAGTTTATCATGGCACAATTTATAATTCTGTTATGGAATCACTATAAGTGGCCTTCAACAGATGAATGAAGAAAATGTGGTATGTACAGCATGCACATGGGTGTATTATTTTAGCCATAAAAGAAGAACAAAATCATGTCATTTGCAGGAACACAGATGGAACTAGAGATCATCATGTTAAGTGAAATAAGACAAAGAAAAGTAAGTCTCACATGTATCCCCTCACATGTGGACTCTAGGGGCAGGGAAGATGACATGGAAGTATAAAGAATTAGAGAAGAGAAAGGGGCTTGGCGCAGGGAAGGTCTGCAGAAGACATGAGGGATATGAATTTATGTTACATGCATATATGAAAAGGCCACAATGAAACTCACTATGCTGTATAAGGAATATGTGCAAAAAATAAAAGAGGTGGGCTTTTGCTCTGTCACATTACTTGGACATAGTACCTGACACCCACAGTTGAAAGGGGGAGAAGTGTAATTTATCTCGCAGTTTCAGGGAATTCAGTTCGTGATCAACTGGCTGCAAGGTAGGAATGTAATGGTGAAAGGACAAGGTACAGCAAAGCTCCTTAGTTTGTGGTGGCTGGGAAGTAGAGTAGGGTAACAGTGCCAGGAAGAAAGGATCCAAGGACTACATACAGAACCCACAGTAATGCCATCATAACCCATCAAGAAACACCCAAAAAGTATGCTTGACTAACCTCTAGGCATTT